CGTTTGGAGGAGGCTGCTGCGGCCGAGAACCGGAGCCCAGGTAGGAGCCAGAGGCAGGGCGGGACCCGGGGCGCAGGGATAATAGGCCCCCTGGCGCCCAGGCAGGCCCTCCCGATCCGAGGCTTCGGAAAACGGTCGGAGGGCGCCCTGGGAAGGAGCCGCTCAGTGCTTGAGGAGGGGGCTGCTTGCCAGGCAGGGGCAGGAGCCGGACGCAACTGCTGCAGGCCGGGGGTCGCGGCGAAACTTTCGCCCGCTGGGGAACGTTCGCCTGGGGCTGGGGTGCTGGAGGAGAACCGGGAGGAAGGGCGCCAAGGAAAGCCTTGCGTTCTGCTCTCCAGCCAGACGTCCCCAAAGCCAGCCTGCGAAGGCGGGACCAGGGGTGGGGGGCGGTGAAACTGGGGGAGCAGAGGACCGCAAACTGAAGGATATCTCTGCCCTGCGACCTCGCTGCGGGCTGGGTGCGGGGCATCCAAGGAACGGGAAACCGCAGTACCGCGGGCGGGGGCTGGGGCGGGGACTGGGAGGAAGGCTGGCAGACGGGGGAGGCGAGAACTGGAAAAGGATGAGAGAGGGGGAAGAAGGACCTCAATTGGGAAAGGAGAGGCTTGGAATAGGGACACGGAATAAGGGTGGGGTTAGTCGAACGCGGGCTGGAGAGGAGGGAGAGCAAAGCTTCTCCGGGTTCTGAGCTGCGGGGACGCAAGGCCGAGGAAAGGCAGACTGCACCTCCCCTCCAGCTGTCTACCCCTCCCTTTGGCTCTACATCCCCTTGAGTCCCAGCCCCATTTCTTCCTTTCTAGTTCTAGCCGCTGCTTCCCCCGCTTCCTCTCCTAGATCCCAAGCTCGCCACCCCCTCTGTAACTCAGCGTATGCTAATCTAAACCAGATGTCGACCCCCCTTTCTTCCCCAACGGCACCTCCGGGTCCCTCTCAGCAGGGGTCTGAGAGGGAACCGACTGCAGCCGCAGGCACCCGGGAGCCCCAGTCTCCCCCCTCCCTCCCCCCTCCCCCCACTGGGCTGAGCGCCTGGGACCCTAGACGCGGCTAGCGGCGCGCCCTGCTCAGCAGGGCGCACGCACCAGGGCACGGCCCCGCGCACTCGCAGGCACACGCCCCTGCTGTGGCCTCTCCCTGGCGAGCACTGCTGCAGACGGGCTAGGCTACCCGCTGTGTGTCGCCTCGCCGGGATATAGATTCAGCCTAGGCTGCAAAAAAAAAGACAGGGCAGAGAGCCTAGGCAGGGAGGCTACCGAAGCTGGACTGGAAAGCTGCAGGCCCAGGAATCCTGCCCAGAGAGCTGGACAATTGGAAACATCTTGGTTCTGATGCAGAGAACCTATGCAATAGGATGGCACTGTCGCCTTCCCCACACACAGTCGGGAACACCCTTAGCGGTGTGCCAAGTACGGTCCTACCTGGGGCCCCACACATACCCGACCACGCTCATCTAAGAGGCCGGGGACTAAGGCCGTGGATCACTTAATCTCCAGCAGTGCCAGATGTCTGTCATTTTTCTTAATCCCCATCACAACCCTGTGGGTATCTAAAGCCCAGGTTCATTCAGTACCTTTCGGGCATCTGTTGTATGCCAGGAACTGTCTGGGCACTGGGGATTTTCTTCTGAACGAGAAATAGGTAGGCCCTGAATGAGGAGGTTTTGTTTCATGGGTAGAGAGTTCTGATTTTGCAAGATGAAAAGGGTTCTGGAGATTGGAGACTGTACACTTAAAAGTGGTGAAGATAATAAATTGGGTGTTCTGCAAATTTTACGATTAAAAAATTAGGAAGTCCCTGACTTCCTGAAAGAGGAAACGGTCAAGTTAAAGTCACTCAAAGCCACCCAGCTAGTAAGGGTTCAGCACACATACACACCACGGAAGGGTGTGTTCTCCAACCCCCTTGCTTTCCCAGATGGGGAAGGGCTGAGTGGCAGTGTCACATTCACTGAGAGGTGGGAGGGGAGAGGGCTGTAGAGAGGGGCTTGGATGCCCACTGTGGCCATTATGGCATGTCTCCCAGGGGCCCCCAGCCCTGGCAGTAAGTGCGGGTGCACCTGCCCCACCTCTTGGCTGATTCCCATCCTGTTGCACCCCCAGATCCAGGACTGAGCTCTCGGCACCATGAACCCTACCATTGGCATCACTCTCTTGCTGACAGGTACTGGGCAAGGGGCAGGGCTGGGATTCCAAGCACCCTGGCTGCCTTCCTTTCAGAGAAGCTAGCTTCTTCCTCATGACCTCAGAAAGTAGAGGTGACTAAAGGAGAGAGAGGGCTCCTTTTATCCCTAAGTCAGCTGAGCAACCTAGTTGATCTTCTGACTGCCTGGGATGGTTTTTGGAAACTCAATTCACTGAGCCTGCCCCATACTGAGTTGGAATCTCCAAGTGTGAACCAGGATGTTGCATCAACTTCCCCCAAGGTCTCCTGCCCCTGGAACATACTGGTGGGACCCACGACTAGAGTAGAGGGAGGTAGGCTGGGGCCTGCGGTAGGGAAGGTAGACTGGCCCTCAGGGACCTCTGGGCGGGGAGAGGTACTCAGAGAGCAGACCCTGTGCCCTTCCCTGGCCAGGCCTTTCTCTACTGTTAATGTGGATGGGAGGCCCCCTGCTCTACAGGTCCTCACCAACTTGGAGGGGGCACTGCTGGTGCCAGTCTTACAGGTGGCCCGTGGGCAGAAGGTGACCAGCCTGACAGCCTGCCTGGTGGACCAGAGCCTTCGTCTAGACTGCCGCCATGAGAATACCACCAACCTGCCCATTCAGTACGAGTTCAGCCTGACCCGTGAGACGAAGAAGCACGTACTCTTTGGCACCATTGGGGTCCCTGAGCACGCATACCGCTCCCGAACCAACTTCTTCAGCAAGTACAATCTCAAGGTCCTCTACCTGTCGGGCTTCACCACCAAGGATGAGGGGACCTACACGTGCGCACTCCACCTCTCTGGTCAGACTCCCATCGTCTCCAACAGGAACGTCTCTGTGCTCAGAGGTGAGGCAAACCCCCAACAGGACCAAGGAAGCTGGGAGAGGCAGGCTGGGGAGGAACGGGCTGGCTGGGACAGCTGGCAGTCCCCTCGGCTGGGCCGCAATAGGGAGTGGTCCCATAACTTCTCTCCCCTTCCGCCCACTGCTGCCTGTGCCCGGCGGAATCGCTACCTTCAGGGTGAATGGGGGAAGGTCTAAGGGGACGGTCAGACGGGCAGAGTGGTGTGGCACACGCTTCCCCCATGACTGCGGGCAGATCACTCGGCCTCCCCGGACCTCCTTCTCCCCACCTGGAAAGCAGGATGGCACAGCTGCCTCGCCCACAGTTTCCTCGTGACGATATTTGTTCAAGGGCCCAGGAACCTGCAAATGGGAAAGGTGGCTGGTTCTGTCAGACCAGGTTGGCCCTGGTTCCAGCCAAGATATCCCGGTGCCACCCTCCCCAAGGGAAAGCAGCCTTGCCCTGGGCCTGGGCCTGCCCGAGCCCCGGCCGCTCTGCATTCCCGCCCTGCCCCTCTGCCCCGTCCTCTGTCCACAGATACGCTGGTCAAGTGCGGAGGCACAAGCCTGCTGATCCAGAGCACCTCGTGGCTGCTCCTGCTTCTGCTCTCGCTGCCCCTCCTGCAGGCCATGGATTTCATCTCCCTGTGACTGGCTGGGCCCATGGAGAATACAGGAAGCCACGAGGCCCCGTCCAGAGACCCTACTTCTCGGAGTCAGTTGACCCCCCTCCCCCCAACCTCCCACACACCTTGGGGAGAAGTGGGGACCCCACCGCCCCTAAGGAATCCCACTGCTGCATGCCATCATCTCCCATCCCCCACTGCCACCCCCTACCCTCTCCGCACGCCACTGCCTATTTGTATCCTTAGTTCCAGAGCTGCTTCTGTCTGATTTAGGACTTATCCTACCTTTTCTTTGGCAGTTCGCGAAAAGGGAAGCCAGGGCTGGGGACCTGATGGAGAGTGAGGGGATGGGAGGGGTATCAGTCCCTGGGGCCGGTCATCCTTGCCCACCAGGACTAGAGGCCTGGGAGAGACCTGGGCGAGGAGGGGGAGGGGTGTGTTTGGCCCTAGCACATCCCTCAGCAGTAGGGATGGCGCCTGAAGACCCCGGATGTGAGGGCGCTGCCAAGCGTTTGTGGCCCATCCTGTGAGGAGAGAACCGAGCGTCTCCACGAGCACTTTCCGTCACAGCAAAAAGCCGCCTTCTTACCCTGCAGAAGTCCCCAAGGGGCCTCGGGCCCGGCGTCTGGTCCAGTGACAATGCAGATTCTGCCCGGGAAGCAGTGCTGATGGGCTGGTGAGGCAGGTGGAAGGCAGGGTCCATCATCCCTCCCCCCAGTGAGGAAGCTAAAAATGGGAGCTAGCGTCTCGCACTGGCTCGGCCAGCAGTTGGGAGGTAGCAGAGGAGGACAGGCCCCCTCCCAGGCTATCCCAAGCTCCTAGGAGCTTCCAGAACTCAGAGCTGGAGGCAGTGAATCAGGTGGAGCCCCTGGCTGAGCCGCACGGAGTTCGGCCCACGTGTCCCCCAGGAGGCTCTTCCGTCCTCCCCCAGCAGCGCCCGAGCCTTCAGATAGGCCCCCGCCCCAGAGGCCTGCCTCCTCAGGGACCTCTCGGGGGCCTAGGGCTGGCCGTGGGGTGATACCCATAAGTGGACATGCCTCGAGGGGTGGCTTTTCCCAGCAGCCAGCTCTGCACCCGGCGGCTCTTCCCCGTCCTGTGACCGTGTGTAGTGCCACCCCAGCTTATGGCATCTCACTGAGGAAAAAGAATACTGTACAATAAAACCAAGCCTCTGGAATCTGTCCTCCTGTCTGTCTCTGCTTTGCTCCTCTCTCCCCAGGCCCGCCCCCCTCCCTTAGCCTTGAGGCCCGACCCGCCACCTCCTCCTCTCCCCCATCCCTGCTTTCTGCAGCCCTTCTCCCCCCCCCTGCCCCCCAGGGGTGGACCACTGCATGCCCAGCTTCTCAGAACCACTCTAACACGGCACGTTTGCCCAAATAAACAAATGTTCCCTCTCTGTGGACTCACCTGCCCCATGTGTGGGCCAAGCCGCATGGCGCCGGTTCCAGAACGTGCTAACAGGCACGAAGGCACGGAGTCTGCCTTCTGGGGTCTGGATGTTCTCAGAAATGCCCCGTCAGCTTACAGCTGCTATAGAGAGGAGCACAGAGGGGCGGCTCGGGAAGCGAGGCGGTACGCGGGAGCTGCCCTCATCATCAAGGTGTGAGGACAAGCATCTCTTCTTAACTCCAACATGGCCACATAAAGCACTGGGGGTGGGGAGAGAACACTGAGGCCCGTCCCCAGCTCCCTCCCCTAAAAGTCACTGAGTAGAAAGCGCCCCCTGGTAGAAGGGACTAGAACAGCATCACAGGGTGGTTCTGGGTCTCAGTTGCTGCCAGAGTGAGGCAGCCCCCAGAAGGGAATCTGGGGGAGGACAGTAGTGACTACCCAGAAGCTGACTCATTTGGTATTTAGCGCTGGGTAGGATGGTTTTTCTGAGCATTTGCTTAAAGGCCCAGGATCTAAACTCACGCCACTGACTCCCACTCTTGCGACACCTCCCACTGATACCTGAGCTTTGCCAGTGACCCCCGTAGTGGCCAGGCCGGAAGAGGGCAAGAGAAGCGCTCAAGGAAGAGAGGGAGCTGCCCGTGTCACCGACCACAGGGACCCACCCACCCCCACGTGGGCTGTTGGCCACTCAGGACAGTGTAGCCGGCCTGGACACAGGGCCCTTTTGCTGTGCCCTGCTTGCAGCCAAAAAATGAAGAGCCTTTGTAGGGGAAGGGAGTTCAAATGCCACCCTCGGGGTAGTAAGAGCTAAAGCTGGAAGGTCTTTCTGGAAGGAACTGGGAAGCCAGGCGTGCAGCCTCAGCTGTGAGAAGCCATGACACCCTGGCGCCTGTGTGAGCCTCCTGTGTGGTCTTTGTCACCCTGGCACTGTTTCCTTGAAGAGTTTAGCGGCCCCTCAACAAGGGCCCCTTTGCAGCCACGCCTGTGGGAGGAGAGCCCAAGGCCACGGCGAGTGGGCTTAGCTTCAGAAGACACAGAGGCCTCTGAGGTCCAGGGGCTATAGGAAGGCAGGGACAGAGAAGAAAGGAACAGGCCTGGGCCTGGGAAGGGGCTCGACGATTTAAAGGCAGGGCCGTCGGGCCTCACAGCACAAGCCAACCCAGAAAGACTGCGGGCCGGGGCTGCGGTGGGCTCCTGGGGCCAGTCCATGGCGGCAGCCAGTTCCTCCCCGGTCACGTCAGGAGAGCTGAAGAGAGATGCGGCACATCTTCAGGGACTTGGCTAGTTTCAAAGAGGGCTGGGGCCGGCCCTGGTTCCTGCACACATGCCCAGAGCCCACCCCACCGAGCCCCTTCCCATTCCTCCTCACCCCTCCCCCACATCCCCCTTGGCCATCTTGGTCCTTACCTTAGGGCGTGGAATCCTTGCTCAGTAGAAAGAGAAAGAAGCCCCTCTCCACACATCCGTCCACTGAGACAGGAGCACCTGCACACGGCGCAGCGTGAGGGTCTTCCCAACACCTAGGGGCTCCCTCGGGAAGAACAAGGCGGGTCACCGTGGGGAGACGCAGGGACTTTCTCTGGCCAACCAATAAATGTACCCAGGGTCCAGGGGACCCGTGACACACATCCTCCAGCCCCTGCCCCCCCAGCATGATGTCCCTGTCCTCACTGTGTCTGCAGCTCCCGTGTTGTGATGGGCAGGTTTGTCTTTACATGTGAAAGCAGCAAGTCCCAGGTTAGGAGTAAAGCACTTCCTCATCTACCCCTGAGGAATCAGTGGGCCTGGAGTCCTTCAGAGTTCTGGCAAAGCGTGAGGGTCGTCAGCTGCCTCCTGCTAACCCTGAAGCAGGGCTTCAGAACAAAGGTGGGATTGCCTCCTGCCCAGGGCTCTCAGGCCCCGAATGTGTCCCACCCCTCGGGAGTATCATGTCATGTGAAGACTCCCGGGGGGCGTCTTTGCCTGGCAAAGGGAAGACCTGGGGGCAGGGAAGCTATGGAAGTGGGCACATGCTGTAGAGGGCAGTGTAGGACCAATGGGAGAGCTCTGCGGAGGCCAAGTGTGGCTCTACACCGGAAGGGGCCTTTGATGGCTGGAGCCGCCCAGCTGCAGAGGCAGGAGTGCCTGGCAGTGGGCATGGTCAGTGGAGGCCACCTGTCCAGCCTGCAGGAAAGCAACTTCCTGAATTCAGTGGGAACCTGGGCTAGATGACCCTGGTCACTTCACCCTTCAATGCCTCATTTTTCTGATTTCTAAAATAAGATGGGGGGGGGGGGCGGGAGGCGCATCTGGTGGTGCAGTGGTTTAAGAACCCGCCTGCCAATGCAGGGGACACGGGTTCGATCCCTGGTCTGGGAAGATCCCACATTCCGCGGAGCAACTAAGCCCGTGCGCCACAACTACTGAGCCTGCACTCTAGAGCCTGTGCTCCGCAACAATAGACAGCGCCGCAACGAGAAGCCCGCGCACCACAATGAAGAATAGCCCCCGCTCACTGCAACTAGAGAAAGCCCATGTGCAACAACAAAGACCCAACGCAGCCATAAATAAAATAAATAAATAAAAATAAGATAGGGGAATTCCCTGGCTGTCCAGTGGTTAGGACTCCACACCCCCACTGCAAGGAACTAAGATCCCGCAAGCCGTGCGGTGCAGCCAAAATTAAAATAAAATAAAATAAAAAATAAAATAAGATAGTAGTGCTGGAATGATTTATTTGTACAAAAAACGTTAAGTACCTGGCTGTGCTAAGAGGTAAAAGACATAGCCCCTGGCTGAAGGAATCTACAGCCCAGTAAGAAGTGAGGAATTGATTTCAGTGCAGTGATTGGTGCTAGGAGGCAGAGAAGCTGTGGCAGACACTGCTTGAGGGTTTTCCAACATGTATTCTCTCTTTCTTTCTCAGCAATAGACCCACAAATTAGAACTAGATTATATGGTCCAGAATAAAGACTACATTTCCCAGCTCCCTTGCAGCAAGACGTGCACATGTGTCTAAATTCTGTCCAATGGAACATTAGCACAAAATAATGTGTACAATTTTTATGAAGTGCTCTTAAAGGGAGAATGTGCGCTTTTCAACCCCTTTTACCTTCATGCTGGCTGGAATGTGGAGTCAATGGTTGGAAATGGAGCAGCCATCTTGGACTATGAGATAGAAGTTTTATGTTACATCACAAAGTACAACAGCCTGGGTTCCTAGTGATGTTAGAACTGTCAAAGCAGCCATGGAATACCATGTCAGAGTTACTCTTATTTGGAGTTTCTGCACTCACAGTTGAACCTAAATGTACCTTAAAAAGAAGCTGTTATTTAACACAACTAAACTGTACACTTAAAAATGGTTAAGACAGTAAATGTTATATGTATTTTTTACCACACACAGACACACACAACACACACACACACACACACACACACACACACACACACACACACACACAAAGCCAAAAGTCAAATTTAGAGAGACAGAAAGTAGAATGGTGGTTGCCAGGGGCTACAGGGAGGGGACACGGGGAGTTATTATTTAGTGGGTACAGAGTTTCAGTTTTGCAAGATGAAAGAGTTCTGGAGATGGATGGTGGTGGTAGTGGCACAACAATGTGAGTGTATTTAATGCCACCAAATGGTTATATGTATTTTACCACAATTTTTTTTTTAAAAAAAGGAAACAGCCAAGGCACAAGGGAACTTTTTGGTGTGCTTACACGAGCACTTACATTTGTCAAAACTCATCAAACTGTACACTAAAATGGGTGAATTTCCTCAAATGTAAAATTTACCTCAGTAAAGTGCTATGAGAATACATCTGTAGGGCCCCTAGCCAGGCTAGAGGGCTTCCCAGAGGAGGGGTCATGGTAGGAGTTAGCACAAAAAGCAGGCTCTACTATTTCGTAAGCTGATTACAAAGAGAGAAATGTTATTTTATTTCTTCTATATCCTGAAAGACTTGGGGAGGGGAAGTAGAAGCCATTGTGGGTTTAGTCCGAGGACAGGCCTCAGCCCCTCTCAGGCAACAAAACTGCTGGCTGATACAACAGCCCTCAGAGCACATGGCCCCTTCATTAGGGTCCCTGCCCCAGTCATATCCATTCAAACATTTACTAAGTGTGCACCCCATGCCAGGGAGTGTAACTATCTGTGCAGGGTAACGAGAAGAGACCTGTGAATGGTACAGACAAGTTCCTTCCCCATAAAACTTATGTTGTGGTACAGGAGATGGACATGAAGCAAGTAAACCAATCAGACGGAGGGAACACAAAGGGTTCAAGGTGTCCAGGCGAGGAGGGGTACAAGATGTCACTGGAGGCGAATTCTCTGGAGATCCAGTGGTTAGGACTTGGCACTCTCACTGCAGGAGCCCTGGGTTCGATGGTCAGGGAACTAAGTTCCCACAAGCCACGCAGAGCAGCCAAAAAAAGAAAAGTCACTGAAGAGGTAGGCGCAAGCCAGGTCCCACAGGGCCTTGGAGGTCATGGTGAAGAGTTCGAATTTTATTCTAAGGGCAATAGGGAAGTGATAAAGGACTTGTTCTAATAATGTTTTTAGAAGATCCCTCTTGCTGCTTTGTTGAAGATGAACTGGAGAAGAATAACAGCAGAAGCAAGAAATCAGAAGGATACTGCCATAATCCTAAAAGAGATGATGGTAGCTTGGACAAAAATTGCATGGCAAAAACAGAAATGGTGACTTTGAGATACGTACAGAGTTAAAACTGGGAGGACTGGTGAATCTGAGTAAGGTCTGTGGATTTTACCAATATCGATTTTCCCAGTGTTGATACTGTACTACAGTTGTATTAGATGTTACCACTGGGGACTTCCCTGGTGGTCCAGTGGGTGAGACTCCATGCTCCTAATTTGGGGGGCCCGGGTTTGATCCCTGATGGGGGAACTAGATCCCCACATGCATGCCGCAACTAAAACAAAAAAGATCCCACATGCTGCAACAAAGATCCTGCATGCCACAACTAAGATCCTGTGCAAACAAAATAAATATGTGTGTGTGTATATATATATATATATTTTTTTTTTTTTTAAATGTTACCATCGGGGGAAATTGGATGAAGGGTACGCAGGACCTCGTCATACTATTTTTGTAACTGTTGTAAATTTTTAATTATTTTTAAATAAGGGTTTTTTTAAATTCTCAACAACCAAAAAAAAAAAAAGATGGCAAGTACTAACTCCAGAAACGCCAGAGGGAGGAAAAAAAGAATTCTAATCATATAGCACATTACACAGCTTAGATGTGAAATATTTATAGAGTCATACTAATATAAACACTAAACAGTGATTTTAACCAAAAATTGTGATAAAGCTATATTGGAGGATGGGAGAAGACTAAGTACATGTGTTTAGTGGGGGAGAAAATGGGCATTAAGAGAGCTAAACCTCATTTTCCAGAGGTGAAAGTCAACGGATAAGACTTAAAACTGAAAAATCAAGAAATAGCTAGCTATATGAGAAATTTTTAAATATAAAAGTAAAGTAAATAGCAGAAAAACTAGCTGAAATAGTTGAGAGTAGTTGCTTTGGGGAATGAGAATGTAGGATGGGGTAACAGACTGCTTTTACATTATAAACCTAGTAATACTTTTAGTCTCTATTAGTTTACTAAACAATATAAATCAAATGTATTTAAAGAAATATATTAATGCCCAACCCAAAAAAACCAGAGAGGACTTGCTTACTAGTGGTTTAGATGGAGGTGGAGTGTTGAAAGGAAAGGAGACGAAATCCTGGATGACCCTTGGGTTTTTGCTTGAACAATTAGTGGATGGTGATGTCATGTGTTGAGACAGAGAAGGATGGGGAATACTGGGGTGGAGAAGTGGATTTGTTAAATCTGCGATGCCCATTAGATATCCAAATGGAGTATCGAGAAGACAGCTGGCTCTCCCAGTCCTGAGCACAGGTGAGAGATGGGAGTTAGAGAAAACTCGACAGACATCAGCATTTGGGTGGTAGGCACTGACCGCGGGACAAGTAAGATCATGCAGGGAGGTGTTATAGAGAAATAATTGAGCCCAGGCCTAGAATCTGAGGTGGTCCAATACTTAGAGTTTAGGGGGACACAACGGAGACTAAAGAGCAGCCAGTGAGGAAAGAGGAAAGCCAGGGGTTAGCGGAGCCAGAGAAGGAAAAGTTTTGAAAAAGAGCAATCAACTAGGTCCACTTCTGTTAAGAAGTCAAGTAAGACGAGGACCAAGTTGTTGGTGACTATGGTAGCTAGTCTCCAAAGATGACCCCCTAAATAAAATATGCCCTTGTGTAATCCCATTCCCTTGGGCCTGGCATGGCCTGTGTCTTGCTTATGACCAATAGCGTATGATAGACATCATGCTACATGACTTCCAAAGTTAGGTCATAAGAAGCCTTGCAGCTTCCACCTGGTTCTCCAGGAATGCTCACTCCTGAGACACACCCTCCTGGAACCCAGCTACCATTCTGAGAGCTCAAGTCACATAGAGGCCACATGCAGTCACTCCAGTCACCAGCCCCAGCTAAGCTCCCAGCCA